ATACACGCTCCTCTATCTCGAGACGTAGACTCGTTAAAAGAGACTAACCTCGCACAATGGAATCTATTTTTATCCGGTTTTAGAACACCCCGGACTCGACCCTGCTGATACGTCGGTAAGAAAGGAATACTTTTATTTAGAGAGGCTGCGACACGCTCTCAAAGGTGTCCTTCTAATTACGCGATGTCGCTGTTGTCGATATCGGTTGATATATTGTCCTTAAGATAGGGAGAAAATGTAGGTCCATTCCGCGGTGTCTGTAGAAACAGATGACAGGATATTGCCTTCACGGCCAATAATCCATTGTCGTTACTTCGTTACGGCGCGCATTATTGTCGTCCAAAGTGAAAGTCGGATGCTTCTACATTTTTACGAGTCGCCCTTTTTATCGGCTGGCTTGGTGATTCTTTATTCGTCCGCGAGAAGACAAATTTACCTGCTGTCTCAGCGAAAACGTCTTCCTCTCTCTCTTCCCTTTATTCTCGCTTTATTATTCTTATTACAGCGGGATAGACGTCCATTTTCGAACGATAAATTACCCTTGTATCTCCACTATATTTTTCTTTCTTTAATCAAAAAGAAAAGAAAGAAAAAAGGAAATAAAAGAGGGAGAAAAAGTTGGCAGATTTTTATGGTTATGTTCGGGGATGTGGAATATAAATGACGATTCCCCCACCCTGTTTGTCTTCCAACTATTAGAACCGTAATTCCGCGATGCGACGTTAAACGAACGTACTTTGAATACCTCCTCCCTTTCATTAATATTTCCCTCTCGATATTAAAAACCAGCCAAACGTTCCCATCGCGATCAATCAATTTTCCCAAATACATCCAATTCCATCGAACGATCCGCTCCTGCCGCTCTTTCCGCGCGCCAGTTTAAATATTTCCCCTTTTCACTGTATCGTAGTGAAGGATCCCTCCACGCACACACACGCGAGACACCATCGATTCTGAAAGCTGATTCGGTTTCCTACACACGCGCGCATCTGCGTATACGTACGATCACGTTTATACGACGCCACGTCAACGGGGAAAAAAGAAAAAAAAATGGTGGAAAGGGAACGAGAAAGCAAAAGGGAAAAGGCAAAAAAAAAAAAGGCGAAGTAGAACGAAAAATTACTCCATTCGATTCGACCAGCGACTAAATACATCCATCTCGGTTGAAAGGGGTTCGAGGAGAGAGAGAGAAGAGGATAGGCAGCGTGACACGAAAACGAATTCGTCCCTACCCACGTCTCGTCAAACACCGGATTTTTCCTCTGGGCCAATATCACGGCGTTTTTGCATAGCCATAAGCGGTCGCGACGTCGAACAGCATCGATAACCCATAATCATTGGTGTCCCGTCGGCTAGGGCCGGGCCCCAGTGCTCGGCATGAATAAAACAAACATAAGTTTCGCAGCGAATTCAATATCCAGCGCCCCTATGCCGCGGGGTGGGGGAACCGCGATGGGACGAGCGAGCAATCAGTTGCAGCCGTGTGCATAGACATTCGAATGCATGGCGATCGAGATCGGTTCGAGTTGCGAGTCGAGTTTGCCCAAGTTGGCCAGATTTTATGACACGGCTGCGAAACACGGCCGGTTTTTCACTTAAACGGTGGTCGTAAGCTTCTCACGGAAATTATTTAGTTAGGTTATGGCGTCCGAGGTATCGGTTCTTATTTGCAGGTTATGCGTGCTTACACGATCTGTCAATTTTGAAGCTAATTTGACAATTTTTTGGTCCTACGATTGATTACTATTAAAGCAAATGGTGAGCGTAAAATTATTATCGTATTAATGAAATAAACCGGTTCTAATTTAGAGGTTATGTATACTTGAACGATCTGCTAATTTTGGAACGAATTTTATCATTTTGATATAGATATGGCATAATGATTAGGATTCATTACTGTTAAAGCAAATCATTCGTATTAGACTATTATTAAGTTAAGAAAGTGAATCGGTTCTAATTTGGAGGTTATGTGCGCTTGAACGATCTGTTAATTTCGAAACGAATTTTATGATTTCTTTCATTTCAGGATTCCTCATTAATACAGCAAATGATTAGTGTTAGACTATTATTAGGTTACTTTAGCGAACCGATTTTTATTTAGAGGTTATGTGTGCTTGCAAAGTAATTTGCGATTCGCCAGTCTCACGGTTTATTACTCCACAAAAACGATCGCTATCGAATTAATAAAACCTATCGTACCTATTACGAAGGTTATGAGATCTCGAGAGAAATTGCCAATGTCGAAAAGAATTTCTCGATTTTTAATTTCGTAATTAATCATTATCCCAAACTATGAAATAAAGAGTGGAATATCATCGGTGGAGTATTATTAACTACCTTTTCCGCGGAGAGAGAAACTTCACGCGCTTAATTCCATCGGAGTAAACATCGATTTCTAATAATGCCAGAAGACACAAGTCGAGCGTTTTAGTCGTCACCTTCTCCGTCACGATCGGATATTAGTAATTGGAATTACGAGCTTCCGTCGTAAAGCTCCGCTACCTCCAAACAATCGAATTCCGCGTATAGCAACGTAAAGCGCATACTGGTGCAAGATACCAGACCCTGGGACCCAAGCAAGACATGTCAGAGGGAACCTTCGGTCAAATAAAACGAACCTAATCTAATTTGCTCGTGCAGGACAAAACGTAATGACAAATACCATTTCTAATTACGTTTACCGTGCTGACCAACGCATAGGAAATAAACGAACTTAACGCCGATAATATCGTGTCATGCGATATTTCAAGGCCACGATCAACTTAGAATTCCATACCTCTATTCCACACGTTGCACGCGGAATCGGAGGAAAACGACGAGACCTGGAAAGCGGCGTTTCGGGCAATGCCGCTTTGAAAATCGATAAGCGGCTCCGCGTAGTCGACCAGTCAGGAGCTTTTCGGTGTATCCGCGCCGGAGATCCTGCCTGGTCACGTGGCGCTGCTTACGTCCACCAGCCATCAGCTTAAAATTGCACACAATGTCCCTATCGACGGGCCTCTCGAAAAGATCACGGACACGAATTGATCGCCAGGGTCGAGTCAGGCTAGGGACATTGGGTCACCTTGCTTCGTCTTTGTCGTTACGGCACTGCTATGCTCACTCCCGTTACCTTTCGCACCAACGCTCGAAATGCGAAAACATGTCGCGAATAAGAAGCAAAATTTAGGGTGTTCGCGATATGTTAAGAAAAATTTGAGAAAGTGGGTATTCGGAAAAAATAAAAATTTGGAAAATTTTGGAATAATGGTTTGAAATAACAGTCGAGATACTTGGTCCGATCTGACGTTTTCGCAAAAATTTTTCACTCGTGTCGCAAATAGGAGCAAAGTAACGAAGGTTAGGGTGTTTGTATTATGCTAAGAGAAACTTGGGAAAGCTGACATTCGATCGAATTGGGGTCTTCGAAAGAAATAGAAATTTGAGAAATTTTTGATTAACATCCACTCGAGATACTTGGTCTGACCTGACGTTTGGATGTGACGTTTTCTCAAAAATGTTTAACTCGCGGATTCGCAAGGACGCCAGTGGAAGCAACGCGACTGGTGGACATCGGTGATTCAGGTATGACACTTTCTATCAAGTATGCCTATTCTATGACTCGATTACACGGCATGTTGTAGAGATAGATCCGATTAAAACGTCCGATTAAAGGGGCTGTAAGTAATTGCATCGAGCAGATGACGCGGGATGATTGATCGAATTAATCAGCCTGACTACTCGAACGTCGCTAAAAAGCAACAGCCAAGTCGCGATAAATGGAACGTGGCCAACTCGAACGTGAACGAAACAACCGAATCGACTGCCTAACTTATTCAACTTCAAAGTGAAAGCAATCAGTTCTACTATTTGCCCGGTTAAATTCGACAACGTCGCTACTAACCATTCTAAATTTATCGACTCAGCGATGGGCAAGCCTCCGGAAAGGGTCCTAAAAATCGTAAATAGGTCACCGGTGTCAAACAATCAATCGGACCCGGTGTTTACCCGACCAATGTTCCCACTTTCATCCTTCCAATTTCCCCCGTGTCTATTCCGAAAGAAGATTCCAAAACCGAAAGAATACTGCCACGATTAAATCTCATAAGACCCAACGAGAACCAGTTTGAGACCCCGTGAAACGGATGAGCGCTAAAATAATTCGCCCCGATTAAATTCCCAATCAGATCCATAGAGGGAGCATTTAAAAAGCCAGGTGGAAGCGAGCGAAGGAAAATGGAGGGAAGGGTGAAAAATCGCGAGTAGGTCGCGGGCAAAGGGCACACAGGTGCGCCTGATCCCGAAGGAGGCTTCCATCCTCGCCTCGTCCTGGCCGGCAAGTGCGCAGACGTCCTCGTCGGCGACGAGGATGGCCGAGTGGAA